CTCCTATTATGCAAATACTTGGGACCTCTGAGCGTGGTTGCCTAAGGCTTTTCTTAGGTTGGTGGGGAAAGAGGGAACTGCCCAGTTTGTTTCTTCTAAGCTAAGTGAGGGGAAGACCAATAGATGAAAAACCTAGGCTTATGGAAAGTGTTTTACCCATTCTTTAGTACTATTCTATTTCCTTTCTCTTAACACAATTAGTAGTGTCACTTCCTTAGTACTAGTCAAGTAGTTAGGGAGCAAGTAATTTGTTTTTGTAAACCATGCTGAAGCTAAGTAGATTGACCACCATGGAATCCCATTCATAGGAAGTCAACAAGCATTTGTTAAATGTTTACTATGGTTGGTGGGACTGCGAGCTGATCCAACCATTTTGGAGAGTAATCTGGAATTATACCCAAAGAATTATAGAACTGTGCATACCCTTTGACCCAGAAATACAACTATTAGGTCTGTTTCCCAAGGTGATCAGGGAAAAAGGAAAAGAACCTCTATGTTCTAAAATATTTATAAGCAGCTCTCTTTGTGGAGGCAAAGAACTGGAAATTGAGGGGATGCCCCTCAGTTGGGGAATGGCTAAACAAGTTGTGGTATGTGATTGTGATGGAATACTACTGCGCTATAAGAAAGGATGAGCTGGTTGATTTTAGAAAAACATGGAAAGATTTGCATGAAATAATGAAAAGTGAAATGAGCAGAACCAAGAGAATGTTTGAAGAACAATTGTGAACAACTAAGTTATTCTGAGTATTATAAATACTCAAATCAACTACAAAGGACCCATGAAGGAAGACGCTATATATCCCTAGAGAAAGAACTGATAAGTAGAAGTATGCATAGTATGTTTTTACATATATATATGTGTGTGTGTGTGTGTGTGTATATATGTGTGTATACATGCCCTTCTCTGGTGTGGAATGGGGAATGAGGGAGACAGTTTAGAGCTGAAAATATAACAAAGAAATAAATAAAATGAAATTTTAAAACATGTTTAGTATGTGCCAGGCATTGTGCTAAGCACTGGTAATATGAAGAACAGTCCCTGTGTTCTCAAGGAGCTCACGATCTAATGATGGAAACAATATGCAGGCAACCACATGTAAACAAGATGTATTCAGGATAGTAATTTGTAATTAGTGTTTAAAGTCTTCACAATTTCAGGTGCCTATACTGTAACACAATGCCTTCTTCAAAGCAGCTGTCAGTTCTTTAAAGCATTGGTTTAGTATTTAAGTGATATCATCTGGTTTTGATTTTTTTTTCAATTGACTGAAATGTGTTCACATTGCCTAAGATCCCAGGATTTCGCCCCTCAAGTAAGATTTAGGGCTAAGGAGAGCCATTGTCTCTTCCTTCTTTCACTGACTCTGGTTGCCAGAACTACTTCAAGCCACAGAAAGGATGTTTTCTTTACCTGCTTTATTGTTATCTTCTGCTGGCAATCCGAGAGAGAAGAACTGCATTTGTACATGAGATAATAGAAATGACCTTTGTTTTCATTCTGCTGTGGGGTAGCTGTCATTCATTAGCACTTCTGTTCATAGTGAAGAGCATTGAGATGGTGGTAGGGTATTAAATCAGAAGACATGTGGTCTGTGGTCTCACAAGAATTTGGTGATCTGGGGGTGAGGGGTGGGAGGCAGGCTCTCTGTGACTGTTCTAATGGAGCAAAGGGAAAAGAGAGAAACGTTTGGCAAACATGACAGGGCATAAAGGAGAAAGTCAGCTTCCCAGCGATGTTGTCAACAGCCTGAACTATGTCGATGAAAAGTTTTGGGAGCTACATAGTCTCTCTGGTGATTTTATGAGAAGAAGAAATGTGGATAACTTCATAAAGAGAGAATGTGACCACCCTGTTGGTGGGTGGACATTCTGTTGGTGAAACAAATTATGTAAGATCATCCACTTATGAAATATACTCAGACTTCTTGTAGTCGTATTACTAAGAGTTACAGATGGGATGAATTCCCCAATATAGATATTTAAATCTTGGGAAATAATTTTGAAGGGAAACAGCAGATAATGCCTCATATTAGCCATATTGGTAGGCTGGTTTTTATTATATCCACCGGATGAACTTAGTGTACATTTTGATTATTGGGTGCATTTTGTGTTTAAATTTCTTATTTAAAATTTTATTTTTCTGATTTAGAACTGCCTATTTCATTTGTTAGGAATTAGGTAAAAATGCTTTTCATCAGAGAGCTATCAGTGACGGTCCTATGGGACAAAGGCAATTCTTTTTCTCTCATGAGTGATCAAATTCTTTTGCTGAGATTCTTATTAAATATTTTTGCCATTCCGCACATGTGATACTTTATCTCACCTCCATGACATTGAACAGGCTGTTCCCTGTACCCAGAGTACAGTCCTTCCCCACCTACCTCCTACAATTGCTGCTTTCCTGACTTTAGAGTTCAGCTTAAACACCACCTTCTATAGGAGGCCTTTCCTGATTGAAATTAGTTCATTCATGAGAACGAAACCTGTCACAGTAGCCTCCCCAATTTATGCTCAGTCAACTTTATTTTGAATTAGAATTTAGTTCATTTCATTCCAGTCATATACATGAGCTAGCTATATTGATGAGTAAAAATAGTTTTTGAAATCCTGTAAATGAATGTGCTAAAGTTGGGGGGGGGTGATTTGAGTCAGGCTCGTTGTGGGGAGTGACAATTTCCTTTTCTGTTTAGATAGCCTAGATTAAACTGAGCTATCATTAAAGTAATTTTTTGTTCATGCAGTTTTTGTAAAATTAATCCTGAGTTACTTGTAAATAGAATCATAGTCAGAACCTTTTAAGACCTTAAAGTAATTAGTTATTATCTAATCCAATCCACTCATTTTCCAGATAAGTAAATAGGCCTAGAGAAATTAAACACCTTGCTCAGGTCCACACAGCTCATTAGTGACAGCAGAGCAAAGTCGTACTAGAAAGAATCATCATGTCTTTTCATTCCAACACCTATTCTGCCATGAGTTCAAGTATGACCTAAGACACTTACTAGCTCTGTGACTCTGGGCAAGTCACATCCCTTAACCTCTGTCTAAACAGGGAAGATAATAGCACCTACCTCCCTGGGTTGTTGCAAGGGTAAAATGAGGTGATATTTGCCAAGAACTTTGAAAACCTTCAAGTACTGTAGAAATGATCATAATTATAATGATAGCTGTTATCATTTTTATTGTTATACAGAACTTAATTCTTTATCATCTTGAGTGACCATCACTTCACACCCAGCCTGTCCAAAACAAAACTCATCTCTTCTAAACCTTTCTCAGTCCAAGCTTCCCTATTTCTGTTTTTATTTTATTTTTAATTTGTAGAATAAAACAAGCATTTCCATAACATAATAAAAAAGACAATTGCACATGAAACTGCAAATCTACTATGTACAGCTTGCTTTTTATTTTAAATATATAATAAAGTTATCATGTAAATTTCTTTTTTTCTCTCCTCCCCCACCACAGAGATGGCTACTATTAGACAGAAATAGGTATATATGTAAAATTATTCTATACATACTGGATGCAGATATTTCTTCCTATATCCTTTAAAATTAATTTGGGTATTAATAATAGTCAAAATGACTTATTTGCTCAAAGCCGTTCTTAAGACAATATTACTGTCATGATATATAATATCCTCTTGGTTCTGCTCATTTCTATTTTCTATTTCATTTTGTTGATGACATCGCCGTCCTTCTAGTTTCCAGGGTTTGAAATTTGGGCATTTTCTGTGATTTCCCTTGTCTTCTTTGCTATATCCAATTAGTTGCAAAGTCCTATTGACTCTACTGCCACATCTCCTTTTCTATCACTCCCATCTTCACCTCTACCTCTGCCTCTCATCATCTTTTCCTTGGACTGTGTTAACAGCCTCCCAACTAGTCTCCCTTTTCGCCTCCAATCTTTCATTTAGCTGCCAGAATAATATTAATGTACAGGTCTGACCATGTCACTTAGTGGTTCAGATTTTTCAGTTGGCTCTCTGTTGTTCTTAGAATAAAGATAAACTTTTTAGCCTGGCATCTGGGACCCTCTCCAGGTCTCCAGCCTTGATTCCCATCATTCTCCTTCTTACTCCTTGTTCTGGCTAAATCGGATTATTCCCTGACTTGTTCTGGCATCACCTGCCCCTGTGCTTCTTTCAGGCACTCCTCCATGCTTGCAATATGTTTCTTCCTCATCTTTGCTTTCTAAAACCTTCCTCTTATGTCAAGGCTCATCTCAATGGCCGCTTTCTCCATGAATCCTTCCCAGACCCTACTAGCTCAAAGGGTTCTCTCTTTTCTCCCATATCCCTAGGGTTCTATGTTTGGATTGTCCTGCCCCCCCTACCATAATCACAATCTTTTTTTTTTTAATACTTAGCTACATAGCTATTGCATATTTCACCCCAATCCCTGCCCCCAGCCTTTTTCATCTTTGTATCTCCAGTGACTTACACAGTTATATGCCTATAATAAAGACTTAAGGGAGGTTTGTTGACTTTCATTCACTTCAATTTAAATCTAACCTATCTAAATATCTTGTAAATTGTTTTGATGCATTGATCCGAAAGGTGATGCCATGACTTGCAAGTGAATTGGATTGAAGTGAGGGAGGGCTAAGTCATCAGCCTCACTTTTTCCTCTAGAGCCTTCTGCGTCCAGTGGCCAGATAGAGATCAGGACCACTGGAGAAGGTCCCCATGGATTTGGATATTTTAGTATTGGATAGAGCGCAGGTTCTGGAGTCAAGAAGACTTGAATTTAAATCCAGCCTCAGACACTTACTAGCTGTGTTACCCTAAGCCTCAGTTTCCTCAGCTTTAAAATAGTAGACAATAATAGGACCTCTCTTATAGTAGTGTTGTGAGAATCAACTGAGATCATATTTGTAAAGTGTTCAAGTGCAGTGTATGGCACATAGTAAGTGCTTAATAAATGCTTCTTTCATTCTGTTCTGTTTATAGAAGAAATAATTCTCACTGGCTTTCCTGTTTTGATTTATTTCAGGTTAACCAAGCCTCTCTCATTTGCGGATTGTGTTGGAGATGAGCTGCCTTGGGGATGGGAAGCAGCATTTGACCACCAGATTGGAGTCTACTACATTGACCACATCAACAGTAAGTTTCTCATTTCTTTTAAAATGCCTACACCAGATATTTGCTGTTCAAGATGTATTTGCTTGTGTTGTCTCAATTTAATTGTCTACAAGGTGCGTTTTCTCTGGGCTTCACATTTTAAAAATGGGAGAGAAGTTTCTCAATTAGAGACAACAACAAAAATAGTAAAAACCATGTCCAACTTGAGAATAATAACTCAGTGAGAAAGTGGATTCACTAAGGACAGAGTTCTCCATTACTCTGGTGTTAATTTTGCTGGTATATAGGGACATGCCTTGTTCTGGCCATCTTTGGTCTCTCAAGACTCTGGGGAATGGGAGTAAGTGACCGTCTTCTGCTCATGAAGATTTAATCTGCCTGTCTCATAGAAGTTTAAAGCACTCTGAATCCTTCCTGTTACTGCTCTGTGGGGACTGAAAGTGCTTTGCTTGTGAGGGGCAAAGGAGACATGCTGCCTTTCTTCCCCCACACCGTCATGGCAGATAGAGTTGGACAGCCATTGTCATAAATGTGGTGATAGCTGCCTATGAGAGAAAGCCATGTTCTCCCCTTGCCTCTTTGCAGCTACTCTTTCAGTTCCCCCTGGGGGTTGGGAGGGATTTCCCTCTCAGTCTCCTTTTGCTGATTTCCCTTTAGCTTATGTAGCAGATAAACTTTCTGGAAACATTTCATTAATGCAAGTGTTGTGGGAATATAATCGAATATATTTCATACTTCAAACAATTCTCTTCAGCAAATTCTTGTTGTAAGTCATTATATAATGTGAATACTGTGTGATATCTTTAAGTTGTAAGTACATCAGAAGTACTAAAGTAGGCACACTCATTGTATCAGTGAAACCCAGTGGAAATCAAATATTCACATATTTGGAAGCCAGCTTTTATGCGTGGAGATGGCTGTTTATATAAATAACAATTATCATAAATGGTACCTTTTATCTCTTTTTACTCTGCTCAGAAGAAATTTTGTTCATTTTTTGTGTTCTCTGTTTTTTAAATATAAATTAATATATTTTTAGTTTTCAATATTTACTTCCACAAGATTTTGAGTTCCAAATTTTCACCCTATCTCACCCCTCCCCCCACCCCAAGATGGCATGCATTCTGTATATCTCTTCCCCTAGTCTGTCCTCTCTTCTATCTCTTCCCCTTTCTCTTATCCCCTTCCCCTTCTATTTTCCTGTAGGGCAGGATAGATTTCTGTACCCCATTTCCTTTATTTCTTATTTCTCAGTAGCATGTGAAAACATTTTTTTTAAACATATGTTTTTAAAACTTTAGGTTTCAAATTTTTTCTCTTCCTCCCTCCCCACCCACCCTCATTGAAAAGGCAAGCAACTCAATATAGGTTATACATGTGCAGTTATGCAAAACACTTCCTTAGTAGACATGTTGTGAAAAACTAACTCTATTTCCCTTAATCCTATCCTGCCCTCCCATTTATTCTATTCTTTCTTTTGACCCTGTCCCTCCTCAGAAGTATTTGCTTCTGATTACTCCCTTTCCCAATCTGCCCTCTTCTCTATCATCCCCCTGCTCTCTTGTCCCCTTCTCCCCCTATTTTCCTGTAGGGTAAGACAGATTTCCATACCCAATTGAATGTGTATGTTATTCCCTCCTTAAGCCAAATCCTATGAGAATAAGATTCACTCATTCCCTCTCACCTTCCCCCATTTCCCCTCCACTGTAAGAGACTTTTTTTTGTGAGATAATTTACCCCATTCTACCTTTCCCTTTCTTCTTCTCCGAACATAATCCTCTCTCATCCCTTAATTTTATTGTCCAGATATGACCCCTTAATCTTCAACTCACCCTGTGCCCTCTATCTATATATCTATACATACATACAATTTTTTTCCTCCAACTACCCTAATACTGACAAAGGTCTCGTGAGTTATAAATATCATCTTTCCACGCAGGAATGTAAACAGTTCAATCTTAATAAGTCTCTTATGATTTCTCTTTCCTGTTTACCTCTTCATGTTCCACTTGAGTCCTGTATTTGAAAGTCAAATTTTCTATTCAGCTCTGGTCTTTTCATCAAGAATGCTTGAAAGTCCCCTATTTCACTGAATGACCGTTTTTCCCCCTGAAGGATTATACTCAGTTTTGCTGGATAGGTGATTCTAGGTTGTAATCCTATCTCCTTTGCCCTCCAGAATATTATATTCCATGCCCTGTGGTCCTTTAATGTAGAAGCTGCTAAATCTTGTGTTATCCTGATTGTGTTTCCACAGTACTTGAATTGTTTCTTTCTGGCAGCTTGTAATATTTTCTCCTTGACCTGGGAACTCTGGAATTTGGCTATAATATTCCTAGGAGTTTTCCTTTGGGGATCTCTTTCAGGAGGAGATCTGTGGATTCTTTCAATTTCTATTTTGCCCTCTGGTTCTAATATCAGGGCAGTTTTCCTTGATAATTTCTTGAAAGATGATGTCTAGGCTCTTTTTTGATCATGGCTTTCAGATAGTCCAATAATTTTTAAATTCTCTCTCCTGGATCTATTTTCCAGGTCAGTTGTTTTTCCAATGAGATATTTCACATTGTTTCTAATTTTTCATTCTTTTGGATTTGTTTTACAGTGTCTTGATTTCTCATAAAGTCACTAGCTTCCAATTGCTCTATTCTAATTTTTAAGGAAGTATTTTCTTCAGTAATCTTTTGGACTTCCTTTTCCATTTGGCAATTTTGCTTTTTAGGGCATTCTTGTCCTCATTGGCTTTTTGGACCTCTTTTGCCATTTGGGTTAGGCTATTTTTTAAGGTGTTATTTTCTTCAGTATTTTTTTGGGTCTCCTTTAGCAAGCTGTTGACTTGTTTTTCTTGATTTTCTTGCATCACTCTCATTTCTCTTCCCAGTTTTTCCTCTACTTCCCTTACTTGCTTCTCAAATCCCTTTTGAGCTCTTCCAAAGCCTGGGAGTGATTCATATTTTTCTTGGAGGCTTTGGATGTAGGAGCTTTGACTTTGTTATCTTCTTCTGGTTGTATATTTTGATCTTTTTTGTCACCAAAGTAAGATAATACAGTTTGACTCCTTTTGTGCTGCTTGCTCATGATCCCGGCCAATTACTTGAGTTTTAAAGCTCTTAAGTTAAGAGTCTGCTTCCAATGTGGAGAATGTACTGTTCTAAGCTTCAGGGGTCTGTACAGCTGATTTCAGAGATATTTGTAGGGACCTGAAATTTTCAGTTCTTCCAAGGTGGTATGATAAGGGGTGGGATGTTTACTCCTTTCCTGGTCTGTGACCACAAGTACTCCTTTCGTCCTGTAACTGTGAGGAGGGGTTCCTTTCCACAGCCACTACAAGCTCCACCATGCCAGCACTCCTCCTTATGGCAGAACTGCCACTGAGAACTGTGACCCAGATCCAAGCACGGGCAAAGCAAGAGATTCCTGCCTCAGCACTGGCAAAGAGACCCCTGCAATCCCTCTGTGATTAGCCACTGGCTTCCCCCTCAGTCTATGGGCCAGAAGCTCAAGAAGCAGCTGCCCCCCCCCCGGCCATGCTCTTGGGGAATGGAACTGAGACCCTGTGTTCCTCTCTCAGCATCGCAGAAACAGACTTTCCCCCCTGACCTTCTAAGTTGTCTTTGGCATTCGTGGATTGAGGAGTCTAGAAACTGCTACAGCTACCTGAGATTCAGTCCTCTGAGGCCTACTCCACGTTCGCTGGGGCCTGTGTGCCCACGCCACACTGTGTTCCTCTCTGACACCAGCGCGATATACCTTTCTTATCAATCATCCAGGTTGTTTTGGGCTGGAAATTTGTTTCACTCTGTCTTTTTGTGGGTTCTGCTGCTTTAGAATTTTTTTAGAGCCATTTTTTTATAAGTATTTGGAGGGGTTTGGGGGAGATCTCAAGCAAGTCACTGCTTTCACGCCACCATCTTGGCTCCACCCCTTTTGTTCACTTTTTAAGAAATTCTTTCTCTACCTGAAAGGTTTTTTAAATTTAAGAGCTTAAAGCCAGAAAAATCCAAAAGCTGGTGAGTTTTAGACTCAGTTGTTTTAGCTCTATTCTCATTTGTTTTTAGCTCCTGATTGTTACCAAAGGAGGCACATCAAAATCTTATGGTGGAAGGGACTAATTGGTTTAAAAAAAATGTGGTCTCTGCTTCTTTAGTTGATAAGACCTTTGATTTCTTCTGTGTAGGGGATTCCTGTGATGTAGTGGAATGATCACTAGATTTAGAATTAGAGCATTTGATTAGAATTCTAGCTTTGATGATTACTCCCCATGTGATCTCATGTAAGTCATTGTTAAATGACTTGGCCTCTCTTGGCCTCATTGTCTTCATCTGCAAAATAAGGGAGTTGAACTATACGTTCCCTACCATTGCTTTCATCTCTAAATCCTATGGCGCTTCTGTGGAGGCAACTTGAAACCCATCTATGCCTCAGCAGACTGTATTATGTGAGTGTGCTTGTGGTCAGAGCAGTTCATTACCTGATACCTAGACTTTTGCTGATGAGAACCCATCCTTAATTCAGCGAGGCTGGTCCTCGGATGGAAGGTACGAGGTCTTTTTTTTTCCCCTTGTCCTCAAACACTTTCCAGTTGGGTTAAGACCCGACATTTTGGTTTGCTGGGAGGGTCTTTGAGAACCCAGTAAAACCATACTTTGGGGCCATCTCAGATAATTATGATAAACTGAAGTCTCTTGAAGCAGTCATCAAAGGAGGGTAACGCGCAGATGCAGCTGTAAAATTACATCTGCAACTAAAACATTTTCTATGTGTGTTGTTGTAGTGACAGTAAAAGGTTTTACTCTCATAGCCCCCTGCAGTCCTCATCATCTTTGGCGTTCTGAAGCTGCCCAGCCATCACTGCTGACCAGATACTTCACTTTTATAATCTCTCTTCCCTAATTTTTCTTCTTTTCTCTCTTCTTGCTCTGATTGTTCTGTCTCCGTCTCACTCACTCTGTCTTCTCAGGGGTCCTCTTCCCCCCTAAGTCAGGGTAATTCAAAGGCTCTTTCCCTTGGTGAGCCTCAGTAGT